AAGCTGTCAGTTGTGATTAATTACTGTTAAATTAATTTCAGTCAACAAGCTTTGTTTGTTTTGTCACCTCTCTGTTGATTGATACAGTATATGTACACGAGACCTCGCAGGTGTTTTTCTTTTGGTGTATAGAAATATAATGAAAACAAGTAAATCCTAAGTAGTATCACTGCCCACAGTACCGAACCAGCCACGCAATCGTTGTTCTGAAAAGATACTGAAAAAGTCCTGAAGTGTTGTTTTGAGGATGCGCTGAGGTCGTTATGTGTATGGACAAGGGGACAGGATTAGTACCATTTTAGTACCATAAGAAGACATTCTGAGGGCATCATTGTCCTCACGAGGCATACTGAGGACGTCCTGAGGTTGGGTTTGCGTTGTCTGGGACGAGAAATGGTGAGAGGCAGGTTTCGAGCACACTTATGCTTTGAAAGATGCAGTATTCTTTTGAAGAATGAGCTCGATTAGCTAGTTGTGACTACAAATAGTGGCCATCTCAAAATCACTCACACATATCATCCCATCCTGCGAAATGTCAACATAGGCTCAAAACATTGTACGTGTACTTATGTTGTCTAAGTTTCATTCATCTAAGTGGCATAGCACTCCAACGCATGAAGCATTAATTTGTGACAAAAGACCTCCGTGAGCGCTAAGTGGAACACACAGAAAGCGGCGGCACTGGCAAGAATGCCTGCTATGCGGCATGGCTTCTCGAACCGGAAGTCGATGCAGATGAGCGCCGTAGCTGGCCACAATCCTTTGCATGGCCCGCGCCATGATTTTGCTATTCATATGGCCCGCGGCGGCTTCATTTGCTCTCGGCGGCGGCAACCGCGTGTTTCCGTACCATATTCCAAGAGATGTATAAAAGAAATGCGGCACCACTATTGGCTAAAAGTGGTCACGTGATCGCAACATGCTTTCGATCTTCTTGGTTATTTTTATTTCTTTTTAAGCAAGATGGCGGCGCCCATAAATACGCCTTGTTTTGCAGTGTCCCGTGTGAAGGTGCCGGCACCCCTTTAAAAATGTTTGCGCCTCGTGGCACACGTGTTTTGCACAAAAGCCGTATTTCGAGGTCACAACTATTGAGCGGTAGGTGGCATTGCAATCGCGAGCTTTGATCGCCACCATCATCATCATGATTAGATTGGTAGCGCCGGCGGTGATGCCTGGCGTGAAGCCTTGGTGGCGGTGTGAAAGAGACAAGCTGCTCTTTTTGGCGTTTGGCGCGAAAGGTTGTCTCTCGCGGTGTATCCCCGGTGCACGGCACCGCGGGTCGTCTGCTGGGGGCCCTCGTGGTGAGTCAAGCGTTCGCCGCCTTGTGTATGCTATGTTGTTGAGTGTATGGTGATATTGTGTAAGGTTGTTTAGTGTGTTGAACACAGCTCATGATGTTTAATTATTTGGCTGATCATATCATCGTTCTAAAGGTAGTTAAATGAATGTGTGTTGTTGTAGTTCGTTCCGACTACGTCAACTGTGTCCGTTCACTCCAAGAGCGTAGCGCTTTCTCACAACGAGAGCCCACACTGGCTGGCCAAAGTGGAGCTCTTGAAGCATCGGATGACAGTGGTCACGGTTCGGTACGAGCTTTTGGTTGAGCCGGGGTAGAGTAGGCCTAGGGGGGGACTTCTGTTGCTAGCGTCGACGGCGTGCTTTACTGAGAGCGATGAGAACTAGTTTGGTGGCGTGTTTGAACTTGTCGGCACATTGAGTTTTTTTTTTTCTGCTCATAAGTGTTTTTTTTTCGTGGTTGGTTTTCAAAAACGTTGTTGAGTCGCGACGAGAGCCATGCGGTCGGCATCCTGGGGTGAGCAAAGCTTAGAGCACGTGGATTGTATGCCAAGCCCGAAGCCAGTGAGTACGAAAGCCTCGTAGATGGTCCGAGTTTCTGTCAATAGCTTTTTCTATCTTGTTGAGCGCAGGGAGCCGGGTATCGTTGCTGTCTTGTCTTGTGGCTCGATGCCGGAGCGTCGTGACACCGTACGAGACAGTGGGCGCTGATTGCTCGGTAACTGCTGTGTGTGGCGAGCGAGTATCACCACCTTATAGAGTAGATGTCTCCTTGTGGCTGCTTCTTCTATGCCTAGGATGGGTGCTGGATGGATGCGGGTTGTTGTCAAGTGACTCATTAGGCCTAAGGCTCTGCGCAGCCGTCTGTCCCACGTGGCACAACTAGGTAGATCGTGGCGTTGAAGTGTTTTACTCTGCTTCTCTCACGTTTTTTCATCTTGTAATGCATGAGTTAGAAAAAATGCCTTTGTTTTATTTCATCTGGGCATCTCGGCCGCCGCCGATGTATTTGCTAGCAGTACTGACCATCGTACCACGTGGGCGAAGAGCCCGAAGCTCCCTTTCTTTTGCCCTACTGCATTGTTTTGTCGAGTGGTTTGTAATGTACGCAATGGGAGTGATGTAACCCGCAGCTGGATGTCTTCTGCACATTTGTCTTTGCCGTTGGCCAGGAGTGCAGTTGAGACTTCAGGCGATGGACATGCCTGGGACAAGCTGCCTGCAGTCCAGCGCTCTCAAGAGTGCTGGTTGCAACCAGAAGACGTGTCGGTGCAAGTCACGGTTTTTCACATCGACGTCAACATTGCCGTTGTGGGATTGGTACTGAGGTGAAGTCGTCGAGCCGAACAGTGCAGCAGTGTCGACCGGCGGCGATGTGTGGTGCACGGACATTTTTTAGGGACATGGGTTGTCATCTTTTGTTAGAGCTTGTGTAGCTCATTTTCTTCATGTTTTGCTTTTTGGAATACGATTTGAATTAAGGTTGGGAAGATGTGAGAGTTCTGACACCCCTATAAAGTTATTTGCACCTCGTGGCATGTGTTTCGTGCAGAAGCCATATTTCGGGGTTTCAACTATTGAGTGGTAGGCGGCGTGTTCGCGAGTGTTGATCGCCACCATCAACATCATGATTAGATTGGTAGTGCCAGTGGTGACGCCTGGCATGAAGTCTTGATGGCGGTGCGAGAAAGAGACAAGCTGCTCTTTTTGGCGCGTGGCATTTGGCGCGAACGGTTGTCTCTCACAATGTGTCCCCGGTGCACGGCACCCGTCTGCCAGGGGCCCACGTGGTGAGTCAAGAGTTCATTGCCTTGTTTATGTTATGTTGTTGAGTGTATGATAATATTGTGTAAGAATGTTTAGCGTGTGGATCACAATTGATGTTATAATAATTCGGCTGACGATATCGTCATTCTTTAAAATAGTGAAATAAATGTGTGTGTTGCTCGGTTTGGTCCAACTGTTTCAACCCTGTTCGTTCACTCCAAAAGCATGGAGCTCTCTCTACGTTGAAACCCTCCATGTGATGAAGCTTGTTGAAGCTGTACTCCATAGAAATTACGCCGCAACGTGTAGGATTTTCGCTGACAGGGTTGCTGAAATGAGTTGCGTTCTTACGCAGCTGGTGTGCTCCAATTTTTTATTTCTTACGTGTTCGTTTCGGCTACCGGCCGGCGTAAAAAGACGAGACACTTGAACTACTTCGCATGTCAGCTGTTTTAAGGAAAGTGGGTTTTTTCACCTGTGGAATTTGCACTGCGGTCCTCTGTTCTGCAGGTACGCTAAGGCAAGGCGAACTTGTTTCGATGTTAGTTGTTTTGTGACAGGGTGTTAGTTTCTCGCTGCATCGCGTGCTTGCCCAAGCGTCCTTTGTCATCTTATTTTTCTTTCTCTGCCTTCTGCCTTCCAGCTTGCACACTGCTAACGTGCACAGTGCTCATGAAAATAATGTAGTAGAGTGGAGCGGCTGGAGCCTAGGCGTTCACGAGATGCAGTTAAACAACGCTGAAATTCACAGTTGTCCCTCCAGGACTGATGGGCAAATTAACATCCAAAAATGTTTTGGGCTGTTTTGAAAAATTGAAATATGAAGCAGCAAACGGTACATGCCACCTTAATGCATATCTCTGTCATGTTGAATTAGAAAAGCAGTACAAGTAGTAGAGTGCACTGTTGCCCATGCAACCTGAATGCAACCTGAGACACAGTTGTTGGAAGTAATGTACACATTTTTTATTATTGTCACTGAACATAAATTACACAAATGTGTTGATACAAATATTGACAAATGAACTGCAAAAAATATGCTTTGCATGAAAAAAAGAATTAGCAAGAAGAGTAGTGAAGTAATACAGAGTATGAAAAGACCGACATGTTCACTCACTAAAAAATAAAATGCTCTATATTTCACGCACTTCTGAAAATTAAGTAATTTGTGAGTCACTACCCATGTCTGTCTCCTTTTGTCTATGTCTTTTCTTGCCATTTATCACTTCACTGTGCTTCAAAACCAATTAGTCCCCAAACCTATACAGGTTTACTCGACTGAGACATATTTTGAAAGAAATGACTATGTGAAAGAGTGCCTTGCACAGCTGCCATAAGATTGCACCGGGATGCCATTCCCAAAAAGATATGTAATCCTACTTTTTGCTTAAATAGTGCATTCCCTCGTCCAGTTCATGCAAACGCAAAGTACACCCAATGTAGCTTTTTTTACAGTTTGACCACAGCTTAGTTAGTTTTATATCTTTTTTTCTAGTGATTGTTTGCATGATATCATGTTATGCAGCAACCATGAACTTCTCCAAGAAATTATTCCTTGCCTTAGAGGTACCACTATGCTTAGGATACCACTTGGTAAGCACGGACTTGAGCCTGGACATCTGATTTATTTATTCATTCATTTGTTTTTTGTTTTAATTTAGTTATCTCGTATGCACTGCGGGTTTTGGGCAGGAGTGAATTTAAAATGAAGTAAAAATAAATGAAACAACATACGAATACATCTGAGAAATTACTGTATATGGAACTTCATTTCTACTTGTGACAGCACTCGGACTGCACACGGCAAAGTAACTCCATAGCTAGTTAATCAAAAAAACAAAAACTCCCGCCCCCCGCCCTTGGATAACAAAGAAGTTTAAACTACAGGTGGCATTATTGTACAGAAGTATGCATAGATGCTAAAAAGCTCTTACCTCTTCCGACAGGTCGAAGAACCGGTCAGGAAGTCTTTCACCAAAGAACACAATGTCTGCACGAAATAAAATTTGACAGTGAGCAAGCCTGCCTTGGACCAGTGACATATACTGAGTGAAATATACAACTACTATGCGGAACACAAAGGGCTAAAATTCAAGTCTAAATGCCATGAAAGTTCAATAAAAAGAAATGCTCCTGTGAGTACACTAAATCTGGTTACACTGAAAGTGATTGATCCCAAATAAGAACAATAAAACAGCCATCGTTTCACATGGAAACCTCTACTGAAGCACAATAGGAGTAAAATTTATGCCTTACGTGCCCCGCCTTAATGCCCCTCTACAGGAGTTGTGAAAACTCATTCTGTAGGTATAAAAATGCCTAAAAATATCAGTGTTCTGTAGAACAAGTGAAAAACTTTTTTTCTTTTTGTTTAGAGTTTCCTGGTATCTCAGCACCTATTAAACTAGCCATTGCCGCTCATGAATAATGCATCATTTTCTGTGGCTGAAGTACTATAAAAACCAGTGAACATGAGGTGGCCGGCCCTTGCCTTTATGTCGAAGCACTATAGTCTTTCCAGCCATGCATTGCTCACCATGTTAGTAGTCATGCCAAATTTCAGACACTTGTTTAAGGCAGCTCGATTACTGTTTTCGCTAACAACAAGCCTACTTGATCGGCCACTATGAATACACCACTTCTAAGATCAGCCTTCATCTAGAATTTCTTTTACCCTTTTAAAACAAACACATGCAGAAACGGCCACCAGAAAAGGCGCACACAAGCATTGATCAGCAAAACAAATGAAGCTCACGCAGACTCACTCAATAAACATATTTTTGGCTTAGGACTTACCTACTTTTTGGCTTAGGGCTTGTGAGCTTTATCTCCAACTAATCTCACCCAGACTCAGTCTGGTGAATATTTTCGTCAACCTCGCTCCCTCAGACTCACAAAATTTTCCTCAAGTAGACTCATCCCGGAATCAGACTCACCAAAATATAACTCGGCCAGACTCAGTAAAACTCGGAGTCAGCAAAATTTTCCCCAAGCAGACTCACTAAAATATAACTAAGCCAGACTCACTCAGACTCAGAGTCAAGACTTTCCTCAAGCAGACTCACTCAGACTCAGCCTCACCAAAATATAACTCAGCCAGACTCACTCAAGCTCAGAGTCAGCGAAAAGTTTTCTCAAGCACACTCACTGGCATTCAGAATAACCAAAATATAACTCAGCCAGACTTACTCAAACTCGGAGTCAGCAAAATTTTCCTCAAGCCCACTCACTCGGACTCAGACTCACCAAAATATAACTCAGCCAGACTTACTCAAACTCGGAGTCAGCAAAATTTTCCTCAAGCCCACTCACTCGGACTCAGACTCACCAAAATATATCTCAGCCAGACTTACTCAAACTCGGAGTCAGCAACATTTTCCTCAAGCACACTCACTCGAACTCAGACTGAATAAAATATATCTCTCAGTCAGACTGACTCAAGCTCAGAGTCAGCGAAAATTTTTCTCAAGCACACTCACTGGCACTCAGAATCACCAAAATATAACTCAGCCAGACTTACTCAAACTCGGAGTCAGCAACATTTTCCTCAAGCACGCTCACTCGGACTCAGACTCACCAAAATATATCTCAGCCAGACTCACTCAAACTCAGAGTCAGCAAAATTTTCTTCAAGCAGACTCACTCGGACTCAGACTCACCAAAATGAGTCAGCAAAATTTTCTTCATGCAGACACACTTGGACTCAGACTCACCAAAATATAACTCAGCCGGACTCAAGAGGTGATGCTATGAATCTTCTCCTTGATGATGTGTACCAGCGACAGGATAGAAAATATTGACTATTTCCTTCCCCTAAAAACCTAAAAGGTGAAGGGGGTGAAGAGTAACTGCCGAACATTTGCCAATTGTTGTTTCGTGACAAAGCAGCTACAAGCCATGCGAAGCCACAAGAAATGTAAAGTACGAAGACTAGGAAAATCTGTGTACTACCCATCATTCCCATGCTCGCTGAAGCGCCATACAGAGCAGCTTCCATAGACACTAGCGCCAGAGTTTCCTCTAGTGTACAAATAGGAAACTTAATGGCACCATCTTCATAGAGCTGATGTCACCGATTCCCATTGCCAAAATTGCTTCGATGAGTTGCATCCCTGCTGTCTAGAGCATCTATTCGGCACGCACCTCGCCTGCTCAGTGGCTTCCAGTGTCCCTTGACTGACTTGTCAAATATCCAACCTTTTTCCAAATAATGACTCGGACTTCCCAACAGACAACCTATAGATTGTTGCTCATGTACACAATATGTCTTTTGTTGTATACATGTTTCAAATCACGCAAAATGCCAAGGGGGAGCCCATGTAGTGTCACGCCGGTATTGGCCAGCCACCACGCAAGAGAGGAAAGCCACGTGGATCATGATGCGCGAACCACGAGGTGGCTAGAATGCTCTGGTTCCTGACCTAGCTGGATTCGCAACCACTTCGGTCTCTCGCTTCAACCCCGTCCCAATAAAACTGCAACCACAGCACGGCTTTGTCAGCCACTGTCTCATCTCTCTGCAATACAGACTTACCAAATTTTCCTCAAGCAAACTCACTCAAACTGACTCACACGGCTGAGTGACTCACTCCAACTCAGACTCACTAACTTATAACTCAGCCCAACTTACTTGAAATCAGACTCGCCAAAGCATAAAGCAGCCCTATTTACTTAAACTCAGTACAATCAAAATTTTCCCCAGACAGACTCTGACTCACCTAACTATAGCTCAGCCGCACTCCCTCAGACTCGCCTCTCAACATGAGTCTGAGTGAGTTGACCCATGAGTGAGTTTGCTGACCTATGCACACAAGCACTCGACTGCCGTAAGCGTTATCAGCAGCATCTGATGCATCTATGCAACTGATGCCTCCAATTTTATAGATGCAATCACACGCACTAGCTCCATAAGTTCCACATCAATACCATTTCCATTCAACCCCTAAGACAGGTGTTTGAAACCTGCGCACCTTTAGCGAAGAGCTCTGTTCATGAACTACAGAGATGTGGCTTTTCTCAGGCATCCTTTTTTTCCAAAGGCAACCCATGAGGTCACTGCATCTTGAAACATAACCGTGGAAGAAAAAAAGTATATACAGAATTGTGACCTGATTTCAGTTATTCTGGAGATCATCACTGAGTTTAATGAAACCTGACGTTGAATCCCCCTGTGACATAATTCATATGTTGTCCCTGTGGCGATTTTTCTTGTGCCCTAGCAACATGCTGGCACACAATACTTCAGTTCCCGTCGGGAAAACTAATGAAAGGGACCTTTAGAGACAAAGTTGCTGGCTTTCTGAAGACTTCCAATCTGCGCAAACAGGTAAGGGTGTAGACCTGCATAAATGGCATGGGCGGCTTTCTCTGTATATACCAGTGCTGATAAACAGTGATGCAGTTAGCGCTTTAGTAGATACCTGGGCTGACTTTTCGATAATAAGCAGAAAAATGACCTCACTTCTGAAGTATGTAATGACGCTCTGGCATGGCTCCCACATTCGAAAAGCTGGTGGCCGTGTCGTTTCTCCGCTTGAAAGCAGCATAAGTAGAGTTCAGATCTGCAGTTCACCCTTCGTAGCAATATCCTTGTGCTATGTTGATGTTCCAGCAACAATGTTTTTGGCATTGACTTCCTCCAGGAGTATGGAGCTGTTAGTGACCTCCAAGAGCCTAGCATCACCTTCCCAGCAGACTGAGCAATCGATAGGCAGGACAGTCAATGGCAAGCAGACGTTCGTGTTTCTGCTTAAAGAGTAACGCTCCTTCTAAGAGCCAGAGTTATAGTAGAGAGTCACATGGTGTTAATTGCAAAATGGTGAAGAAACTGTAGAGGGTAACTTGGAACACCTGCTGACCCAAGGTTTTTGTGCAACTCCGAGTATTATACAGCTTCTTGATGGCCAGTCTCAACTGCTGGTAACGAATTTAAGTAACGAACATCGACACCTTTTTCGTGGCACTCCATTAGCATTTGCAGATGAGCTAGGAAACATTCCGAACTGTTTCACATTGGAAACAGTGGAGATTGCGGACAGACACTACTATGGACAATATTGCCACAAGGACACAGGGACGCGGGCAGCAAACAGGGCGCTTACTTTCGGTACAAAAGGCCAGAAAATGAAGACCAGAGCACGCACCCACAAAACTACTTTGATATCCTCCTCAGAGGCTGGCCACTATAGCTGCCAGCCTAGCTTGCGTTAATTCCCCCCTTTCAAGAGCGACCGTCCCGGTCGATTGACTAAGATGCTCGAGATGGCCATGGAGAAAGATGATCACATCAACAACGAAGAAATAATAATATGCCCGTGCTGTTGAAGATGACAAAAAAAAAACGTTCGAAGTGTTCATAACTCGCGGGTGCTGTGCGGTTTTATCCGCATTACGTGGACTACTTCTGGAGGTGGACGTCATCAGTTTAAACTGGTATCGCAGCTTTGGGGAACTACCTTGTAATTCACGTCACTGAGGCAGTGCACAACTTTGTAAGGGCCAAAGTAGCGTCGCAATAGCTTCTCCAAAAGCCCATGATGTCGAACAGGTGTCCACACCAATACATAGTCACCTGATTGATAGTGGACGTTTCTTTGGCCTTGGTTGTAACGACGAGTGTCGGTATCTTCCTGCGTGCGAATGCAGTGCAAGCTGGCGGGCTTCCTCGGCTTTCTGAACGAAGTCGTCAACGTTGTCATTTCTGCTAGTGTCCTGGTCTACGGGGAGAATAGCGTCTAACGGTGTGTGACGCGACGGCCATAAACAAGCTCAAATAGTGTTAGGTCTGTGGTGTCTCGCACAGCGGTATTATAAACAAATGTGACGTACAGCGAAATTTCATCCCACGTTTTGTGCTCTACATCAACAAACATAGATAGCATGTTGGCCAGTGTTTTGTTTAACCACTTCACCAAGCCATTCGTTTGAGGATGATAAGTCATTTTCTGATGGTTGGTATGCCTCAGCTTGGTGCCCAGTTGCAATAACTCTGCCGTAAATGCTGCTCCACGATCAGTTACGAG